AGATTATCATGTGAGAATCTGAAAAATACTCTTTTTTGGGTAAAAAATAATTCATTCTAAATTTCTAATTTTGTTTTTTTCCAAAGGGCAATGATGATGACTGCATGTGACTTGTCAGCTATAACGAAGCCCTGGGAGGTACAAAGTCAGGTGAATACAATTATAAATGCTTTTCTATCACATTCTCAGGTATTTTCTAGGTCCCAGATAAAAGTGAACAGGAAGATCCGGCAATCTCAGAATTTCGTTTTTGCTAGTAACTATATAATTCTATATAATTATATATTTTACAAACTACTACTTTTTCATTACACTTGAATTGTCCTATCATTTGGTTTAGAATCCAAAAAGAAAAGGAACTTGAGAAGATAAAACAACATATTCCCTGTTGCATTTCTGTTTGTGAAGCAAGTATTTTTTAAGAGCTTACAAATGTCAGGAAAACTGGTCATTTGATCAGTCCCCCAGAACAAGACAAATAGAGGAAATCTTGGAAAGAAAATGTTTTCTGAAAAGAATTCCTTACCACTAGACAGATTAGAGTTTACATAAGATTATTCAGAAAATGAGTTTTTATTAGAGATAAATCAGCAGAAGGATGGACAACTCCCTGGTGCTTTCCTGTGTCAAGGGTGGTTTTCTTCCTACAATCCCTTCTTAACATATTATCAATTGGAAAGTATTATTCTGACCTGAGTTTAAAGATGCCTTCCGTGGAAGTTCTTCCCCAACCTTGGGGAGTTAAGCGTGGGGAAGCACTAGTATACCAATTGATTTCAATTGGACTAGAGATGCTTCTCTCTCCTTAGCGTCTAGGGAAACCATAAACAGAAGAGAGAACAAGTTGATAGGGTTTAGCTATAAATGTGGACTATAAAACTGGAGTCATGAGGTCCAAACCCAAATACTTGCGCTTCTTTAGCCCTGGTTTGGCTGCTCTTCCTCGATCTCTACATACACAATCACCACGCAGTTTTGCCTGAATTCATCTGCTGTTTCATAGTCACTCCTATCATCCTGGCTACCACCTAGTCCAGACTTTCACCACAACTCTGGCGGGAGCCTCTGAAGTGATTCTCTCTCATCCTTAAATCCCCAACCCTCCTCTGGACTGCTGCTGTTTTTTTTTTTTTTTTTTTTTTTTTTTAACAAGCAGAGCTCAGCTAAGCCCTCCATGGCTTCTAGACTACCCACTGCCAGAGGATCAGCTTTTTTTTTAAAAAAAATTTACTTTCTCTGCAATAAAGTTATGCAAAAATCACTTCATAAAAAAAGCAGCAGATTTACCTTAGTAATCAAGTAGAGCTGCATGTGTGTGCCTTTGTGTGCATGTGTGTGCATGAAAGTATGTATACCAGATGCTACCAGATAAGCAGGATAAGACAGAGGAAGCATTACAACTCAAAGCAAGCTTAATAGAATTATCATTCTCCCATCTTTGCATTTTATTGTTGAGAAATTGTGCAGTAACAAGAGACAGGTACTCCCAGAATGAATCTAGAACACTGAAGTAGGAAAGAGAGATTCCTTTTTTCCATTTCAATATAATCTGTGATATCTTTAAACCAAAGATCACAAGGGATGACAATACCTCAAGCATTAACTATAAACTCTATCCTTAAATGCCACACAAATAAAACGCAAATTTCTAAAGTGGCTTTCATAAAATAAGCCTTTCTTATTTGCAGGTAGCACTTCTGGTTGCAAATGAATTTTGGGAACAAGGAGATCTGGAGAGAACAGTGCTGCAGCAACAACCTATTGTAAAGCCTGACATATAAATGACTACTTACTAAAAATTTTAATACAAGTCATTCTATTTTGTTCAAAGTCTTAGAAGACTATCTTAAAAGAACTTCTTTCTTTTTCTAGCCTATGATGGACAGAAACAAAAAAGATGAACTACCTAAACTTCAAGTTGGGTTTATAGATTTTGTTTGTACTTTTGTATATAAGGTAAGTTAATTGATTATTTGAATGAACTATAGTTTTCTGCATGAGAATTTTAGTTAACCAAAATCAAAGGGGAACCCACAGGGAAAGCATTTCAGGATGTTCTTAATTCTCCAAAGTAGTCTGAATTATTACCTTAATCTCGCACTTAAGGGTGGATTCAAGGGAGAGAGAAAATTCAGATCCCAGCAAATGGAACAGGTGGGAAAGACAAATTTCCAAGATGCTGAGTTATGTTCTTTCTCACAGCTCTGAGTACTCCACATCATCATACAGCTCTTTCTCTGCACTGTAATCAAAATCAACTGTAGAATTTTAAGTGATTTCTGGCCTAAACATTCTGTCTAGGAGTTCTCACAGTTTCACAAAGAAATCACACCAATGCTGAATGGTCTTCAGAACAACAGAATAAAATGGAAATCCTTGGCTGATGAGTATGATGAAAAGATGAAAGTAATTGAAGAGGAGATGAAAAAGCAGGAAGGAAACATGATTGAAAGAGGTTAGATGGAATTTTTTCACTGTAGTAAAATAGCCCAAAATCAGGCTGACCTATCTCGCAATAACAGCAGTATAACAAATATAAATGCGAAACTTTCTTTACTGTAACAGACTGGTAATTATAAGTTGATTAATGGTTTTCAGTCTCCTCCACCCCAAAAAAGATCTTATGTATAACTCCAGAAAGAAGTGACCGCATCAAACTTTATGCCCGGCACAAAACAACTCAAGATTCCCAGACTGTGAACTTCGATGATTCTTTTGAGAAACTGAGATGCTAATTGGCTGATCGCTTATTAGACTCCATATTTTTAATGGACCAAATCTGAACATGAATTCAAAATTTTAAATGCTCAAAGCCTCCGTACTCACAGGTTAAAATCACTGCTTAGGCTGGAAAGCTGTTAGAAATGTCATGAAAGTATAGGAACAAAACATTTTATATCCATGGATTCTTGATAATACCTTTTTCTTTTTCTTTTTAACTAGCTGCAGAAGATTCAGGAGGTGGTGGTGATGACAGAAAGTCTAAGACATGTCTAATGTTATAATATGATCCAAGTGGTAGAAATGGCAAATACTGTTTCTACTTTTGAAAAAAAAAAAAAAAAACTTCAGCAAATTTCAGTCATAAACCATCAGGGACAGAGTAGACAAGCTTCAGAAAAAACCACCCTGTGACTATCAAGAAGAAAATATATCTCTAGCCTGGAAACACTCAGGGAAAAATAAAGTTCAACAAAAGTGCAAAAGATGACAAAAATAGGTGGGCCTTTTTTGTACCAATTTCTTTTAAATTAAAAATACATAATCTTGAAAGCAGTCACCATTTCTTTAAAAGCTCTCGTTATATTCATTTGCTAGAGATAAGATAACTAAATAACACAGACTGGAAGGCTCAACAGAAATTCGTTTCTCAGTTTTAGAGGCTGTATGTTCCAAGATCAAGGTGTTGGCTGGGGTTGGTCAACTGTGGGAACTTTCTCTGAGTCAATGTGGGTAACATCTTTACATGGTCTTCCCTCTGTGTCTGTGTCTCATCTCTTTTTGTTAAGGACACCAATATGTTGAATTAAGGCCCATTCACATGACCTCATTTTACTGCAATTACCTCATTAAATGTCCTATCTCCAAATAAGTTACATAGTAAGTATGTAAATCCGATAGATGGAACAAAGAAAAGGATATGTGAAATGCTTATTTCTTTCTTCCACTTTTTACACTTGAAAATGGAAACGCAACATTTTTTGCAGCTAATGAACTATGTCGTAGTCCTATAGTTCCTCTGCCCCTGCCAAGTCTGAAATCAATTATCACTTTGGGTTAGAGATGCATGTACTCCTTTATTTCCATTGTTTAACTTAGAATCCTCATTTCTAGGTTCACTAATATTTAGAAATCACAAAGAAAAACTATTCCTTTATTTTTTTGTAATTCTGGATGCCAAAATATCAGTTCAAACAACTTCCCTTCCTCATTCACTAGCAAGCAAGTTGAGGGTAGAGATGGGCCATCATGGAAGGTCAGCCACAGGTAAGAACTTTGCCTCAGAGCAAGTGTAAGAAACCTAACTTCAAAGCCCCAGGCCACCGGGGGGCTGATTGCCACTGACTGTAACACACATTAATAAACCAAGATCAATTTACTGTTTTCTGGTAGTTTAGAATGACTGTATAATTATTTACTAGAACGTTCCTGTGAGCAATGTCCAGCACATGTACTAAAAACTGCAGAAGTATTCCTTGAATTCTTTCATATATCTATTTGATCTTTATAAGAGCAAATGAGTCTACACTTCAAACAAAAAAACCTTCTGAAAAATTGGTGAAAGTTATGCACCCTTCCTCCAAAATCCACACAGAATAAAAATTTAGCCACAGTTTCTAGAGGAGTTTAGATCTCCTGAAGCACATCCCCAGACCCATTCAGGGTGTGGACCCTGTGGAATTACTACAGTATATCCCTGCTTGTAAGTATATCCATATTTACATGACTGTGCTGGACAAGTTCTATACACACAGTAACACTAGGTGAATTATTTTATTGTGTAAGCTCTGTGGGGAAGTCAGCATATCCACTGTTTTAGATCATGGGGACCTCTTTTAGTCTCCTGTGGTATTAATTTACTTTATAGTAAATTACCCATAAGCTGGGAAGTCAAATTTGAATATAACAAACTTCAAGTGGTATAGGTACAAAAGCAGCAGGAGAAAAGGGGGAAGAAAGGCAACTAAAATAGGTGATAATGGGAAAATAAGTGATTAGCAGGAGAGTGTGAGTGTATCCAAGGGAAGTAGTGACTGAAAACCTTCTGTATCTTAAGTTCTGTGAGACCCTAATAATCGTAATAATTTAAATTAATCAAAGGGAAGATAAACATGAATAAATGGGGGAATAGCCTCCAAATGTAGAACAACGAAATCTCTTTACAGTTTATTAATTCTCTTCTCTAGGGCTACAGATGAAACAACTGAAAATAAATAATGAAAAGGTATATATGAAGGTTGGGAAAAAGTGTTCCTAAAAAAACTAAAGAACTTCCAAAGTATCTGACATCCTGAGAGTTGCTAGATTTTATTTCTAAAGACAAACCACTCAAGCTGCCGCTTATAAATAAAACTTGTATGAAGAATTTCAAAGTATACTTTCACATTAAGGAATATAGGCTTCTTTCTTGCATCTCATAGGAATAAATCTTGAAAATATTCATCAAATTCTTCTTCCCTATTTAAAAGAAAAAGTATACATATGAATTAAAATCTACAATTAGAAAAAATTACTAGGTGATACATAACAA